GGGGGGGGGGGGTAGGAATGGACAAAGAGGGGAGTCCACACTCACTCGTATGTGCTCAGATGGCCCCTGGTGGCACTGGAGAGCCTGGCAGCCTCAGGGCCAGTGGGAAAGGATGGGTGTCTGGGGGAGGGGAGGGAGGGGGAGGCGAGCTGGGTTCACTCTCTCTGCCCCGTTAGGCCCTCGGGGCTCTGTACTGTGTGCCTGTTACCTTCCCGGTCATTGTTCAGGGCCTTCTCTGGCTCCCACCTGTGCATCCCTTCCACGGCCTCCTTCTCTCCTTCGTGAGCTGAAGCCACCGCCTCTGAGCCATCCGGAAGCTCGCCCTCCTCCCAGGGAGGGTCAGCCCCTTCTAGGACGAGATTGGGCTCCTCTTGCCCTCCGGGGAGGATGCTGACTGCAGGGGACACAGGGTGTTGGGGAGAGCGGGTTGGGGCTCTGAGTCCAGGGACCACACAGGGAGCGCTGGCCATCACCAGCCACGCACCAGCCCTCAGCCAAGCAGTGGACGCGCACCATTATCAGGGGGACCATTAGCAGCCAGATCAGCGCTAACGTGACGGGCTGAAGCCCACGATCACTCGCCCTGTCTCCTCCCATTGGTTTCCCTCTTTCTATCTCTTGAGACAGAACCTCCATTACAGTTAGTCTTTGTCTCTCCTTGGGGTCTCCTTCTTGGAGTTTGTCCAGAAGCAGAAACAACGCTTCTAACCACAGAATTGCAGGTGATGCCAAAAGACCCAGGCTCAAGGTCCACCTGCCACATCCAGGTGCAGGGTGCCTGGGATGTCCCGAGGGATACAGAGAGAGCTTACCCACTACCTGCGCTTGAGATGCCACCCCCCTGGTGACAGCATACTATACGCCCATAATCTCAGCACCTGTTTCTGGGAGTCTTTTTCTCCTTCCTGGACCTAAGGCTCCACCCTCCAACTTTCTCATGGAGGTGATCCCACCTCCAGAGAGGAATCTGCAATTTTCAAGTTCTCCATGTACCCAGGTCCCTGACAATGTGGGGCTGTGAGCTTGGCAGAAGTGGGTGCAGGGGAGACTCATCTGGAACCTATGCCCACCTCCAGGCAGGAGAAAGGAAGAAAGGGGGAGATTGCCTGGATACCAGGTATTTCCAAAAAGCTCCAGGGGTCTAGGTGACCCTCAAGCCTCTCCTTCTTCCAGGCCTCTGCTCACTTCATTCCCTCTCCCAGGACTACCGTCCCCTCACCACCATTTGGAGACCTGAGGGGTCTCATACTCAGGGGCCCACCAGCCAGGCAGATGGTGTACATGGGAGAGGTGGTATGTCTAGTGTGGGCCTCTTACAGCCCAATCTTCCTAGTTTTCAAGAGAAGCCAGACTTCGTAAGCCACCTGCTTTTTAAATGTTGGCAACTAATTCTAATTTTTTAAGACATTCTTAAAATATATTTTTATTGACTTCAGAGAGAGGAAGGGAGAGGGAGAGAGNGTGTCTAGTGTGGGCCTCTTACAGCCCAATCTTCCCAGTTTTCAAGAGAAGCCAGACTTCATAAAGCCACCTGCTTTTTAAATGTTGGCAACTAATTCTAACTTTTTAAAACATTTTTAAAATATATTTTTATTGACTTCAGAGAGAGGAAGGGAGAGGGAGAGAGAGATAGAAACATCAATGATGAGAGAAAGTCACTGATCAGCTGTCTCCTGCATGCCCCCTACTGGGGATCGAGCCCACAATCCAGGCACGAGCCCTGACTGGNTCTCCTGCGTGCCCCCTACTGGGGATCGAGCCCACAATCCAGGCACGAGCCCTGACTGGGAATTGAACCGTGACCTCCTGGTTCATCGAAGCTCAACCACTGAGCAACACAGGCCGGGCCTAATTCTAATTTTTAAAATCACTCCTTGCCCCAAACACAGACATCTGTGGGCCAACTGGACCCAGAGCAACCAGCACAGGACTCCTGGCTAACTTCTCCCACCTGCAACTCATACACCACAGGCCACATTTCATCCACGCACTTCTCAAAGCGAAGTGCTCATTTTAGCCTTATCTGGAGTTGTAATATTACACAACCACAGGTTCAGCATGCTGCGTATGCTCTTTAATGTCAATGGAAGCTTCTGCTGTTGTCCACTGTGATCCACCACCGTTTGAGGGAAGGAACGTGGCCAAGCCTGAGAAAAACCTCTTCTGGGAAAACCTGTGTTCCATGGGGACACCACCTACGTGGCAGGCACCGTGCTGAGGGCTGCGCAGGCATCCTTTCAAGGACAGTCCTTCATGGGCTTTCCCAGTCTCCCAGTGAGAGTCTCCCTGCTGTCTAGCCTCAAGGCCACAGGCTGCCCTCGGCTGACCTGCCCTTTGCTCTGGTGGATGGGGTCCAGCCTTGGTCCCTGAGAGGCAGCTCTGGGATGGTGGAAGGGACTCTGATTCCCCATCTCCCTGCCTGTGAGCCTGCGGAGGGGGAGGGGTTACTGTTGCAGGAAGGGACGGGGTCCATAGCCACCCTTCTCCCTCCCTCCCCTGCAGGTCTTCTCTTCAGGACTCCCTTCTTTCCTTCTATCCATTTTTCCATCTGTGCTCTCCCAGGATCCCTTCTCCCTTGTTTCAGAGGCTCCCAGCTGCTGGCACCCCTGAAACAAAGGAGAAGACAGAGGGTGGGTGGCTAGGTGGACAGGCGGACTGAATGAGTGGGTGCCGAGTGGGTGAAGGCTGGGGAGGCTGGGGGATGGAGTGGGGAGAAGGGGGAACACTCACCCCCAGTCCCTCAGAATCACCTAGTGTCCCCCCAAAACAAAAATCAAGTCCTAACTCCTATTGCCTATGAATGTGACCTTGCTTGGAAATAGGGTCTTTACAGACGTTAGTTAAGGATCCCAAGATGAGATCATCCTGGATCTAGGGGGAACCCTAAATCCAGTTACTAATATCCTTATAAGACAAAAAAGAGGGTGATTTGAGAGAGAGGAAAGGGCAGAGGTCGGAGGCAGCTGGAAGCCCCGGGGCACCGAGGATTGTCCGCAGCCACTAGAAGCCAGGGGACAGGCATAGACGGTGTCCCCCTCAGAGCCCCAGGAGAAACCACCCCTGCCAGCGTTTTGACCTTGGACTTCCAGCTTTGTGAACTGTGGGCAAATACACTTCTGCTGTTTGAAGACACTCAGTCTACGGCCCTGTGTTATGCAGCCCTGAGAAACTAATGCTGGGTCCTGGCAGGAGCGTTGAGCTGCTCCACTGATGCTCCAGTATCCACCACTGACCTCTGACCCCTGACCCCTGACTCCATGCTCAGGCCTAGAATTCTGCCTCTTCCAGAGGAGCAGAGAGAAGGTTAAGAGGAGCCGGAGGCTCCATCCTCAAAGCTCTCAATGACCCCTGGGGGATGGGAGTCTCTGTTCCAGGGAACGTTTTCCACTTTGTTGGCCTCAGCCTGACTGAGAAGCTGCTGCCAGGCCCAGTGGGCTCTAGTATCCACCTCATGAGAACTTGCTCTGTGGCCTTGGGCACTGCCTGTCCCAGCAGCCATGGGGAGCCCTGCTCTGTGCCCTCCAGGGCAGCCACGAGCTCCGCAAGACTGGGCGAGCCCCTCCCAGCGTCGTCACAATTACCCAGACCGCCTCGCCTCCCACAGCCACTCTCACACCCGAGCTCCCCAATCAGCTGGCTGGCTGTGCCCCAGGCCACAATGGCTGTCCCCAGCCTCAGAGTTCTCACAAAGACCACCATTGGCCTAGTGGGACTGGGATTGGACGCAGCCATAGGCACAATGAGACTCAGCTTTGGGAGGCCCTGAGGCCCAGAGCCCCAGCTCCCCTCAACCACAGCCTCTGCTCACCCAAACCCACCAGCCCAGCTGCCAGGAGTAGTGGGGAGCTCTCTCCGGGTGCTCCCAGCAGAAAAGGAGGTTCATCTACTTGGCCTCATGGGAGCTGAACAGCAGGCCAAGTCCGTCCCCTCCCCCATCACCCCAGCCTCCAGCAGAGGCCTCGAGCAACCATCTGGCTCTGGGCCGGACTGTGGCTCCCTGGTGAGGCTGACCTGAGGTGGGGCTCGTAGAGCAAGGGCTCCCTCAGCTCCTGGTCAGGGGACCCTGACTGTTCCCCCTCCCCTCTAGCTACTCTAGGCCTGGCAGGGGACGGCCCCATTGCCCATGCGTGCTCAGACCAAGCAACCCTCCCAGAAATGCACACGGGGACCCATCAATGTGTCACTTACTGGACTGCACGTCACATGTCACAGGGGAGTCAGGCTCCTGCATGGGGAGAAAGGGGGAAAAACTGCTGTGGCCTCCTCACCGGCTTCCCTGCTTCCACCATCTCGCCTTCTCTCCCACTGGACTCCCGCAGAAGATGCCCTTGCTGCCGGCTCCACTCTTTTCTGCTCCTCTCCTGCCTCAGAGGTTGCCTTCTGCTCTAGTCACTCTCCCACTGGGATCACTGCTTGGTCCCCCCTCAGCTCCTTTGCCCAAGCTGGGCCCCCTGCCTGGAACACCTTCTCTTCAGTTCTCTGTGCATGAAAAACCCTGGAGGGTTGTCTCAAAGCTCCATCTGCAGGAAGGCACCACACCTTCCCTGTCCCCTACTTCCATCCTCAGGAGCCCCTCCTCTCTGAAAGGGCTTCTTCATTGACTAATCATTTCTCCACCAGGCCCCCTTTCCTTCTCGTGGAAAACTCCAAAGCTCTGCCTCCTCTGCCACCCTAGAGGCCTCAGGAACACGGAGCCTGAGGGCTCAGCCTGCAGGGCAGGGACCCGGTCCACCCCCTACTGCGGCAGGACTGGGATCCAGGCTTCCCACATCCCGTTCCAGGTGCTTCTATGAAGATGTCCAATTGTCCTCAAGAAAGAAGGGCCAGGGCCAGGTTCTTGGAGGGGAAGCAGTAATAGAGGCCCTGCTCCCAGCACCCACCCATGCTGGGGTCCTAGGTGACAGGAGGGACACAGAGCACTGGGTTCCTTAGAGCCCGGCTTCTTGCCGGAACATCCCAGTCCTCTCATCTCTGGGCCTTTGCACAGGCTGGTCCTTTGCAAACCACCCACATTCACTTTCACCAGGACCACTTCCTACTCCTCCTTCAGGCCTCAGCTTACAGGCCACACCCACTGGGAATCCTTCCTTGATGCTCCTGGGAGGCTCTTCCTCTGCACCCCACATCCTCTCTGCTCCTGCTCCACCATGGTAGCACCTCCCCCACTGACTGTGACCTCTGGGCAGGCAGGGCTGAGCCAGCACTCTCAGTGCTGTAAACATGGAGCCTCAGTGTGCAGATCCCTGAGCGGGACTGAC